GGGAGCCGGTCTGTATGTGGGATCCGAACCCTCGGGCGGGAGCGCTGCCGCGCCTCCCAAGTGGTGCACTATCCAGTGCGCCACTGGGCCGGCCCCGACATGCATGCATTTTAAAACAGTAATAGCGTCTTGAACTGTTTAGAGCAGACATTAGACAAGCACAAGGGGTTGAAAATTCCTGTTTAAAAAATGGGAGTTGCAGTGGGAAACTGAGAAGTCACACACATGTGGTGGGGTTATAGTTTATCCTGTTTCCCCAAAGGTTCAGTCTAAACTTCATTCGCATGTTTTGATTACAATGATCTGAACTGATGCTGGGGTGTGCTGAGCAGCACTGGACCTCCCCCAAAAGGTGGTTGGCTGCTACCTTCTCACAAAATGGCTCTGAGCAAGGACAAGGGGCCCCTGTAGAAGTTTGCTCCCCAGTCTCCTTCCTGGGATCTCAGCACAACCTGTTGTGGAACAGCTGATTCTCCTTTTCCTCTTGGGGGCAGTCTTTATAAGTGGCACATCTCAAAGGAGAACTAGGGCCATATCACTACGCCGTGCAGATTTGGGGACAGTTGTCTGAATGTGTTTTCCCTTTGATGATCCCTTCCCCACATTACTGCCAGGAAGAAGCGAGGTCTCTAGACTTGGTTGGAGCCACAGGTTTAAGGCCAGAGCTCTGAGAGTTGTTTAAGCATACTGTCCCTTTTGGCCCCTAACACTTGAGTAGCTCAAATGCTGGAGTCCTGAAGTTTTTTCTCTCTCCCAACCTGAGTTGGTAAAATGACAACTGTGGGGTGGGATTGACTAGTGAGAAAAATCCTGGGTCATTGGTTCACCTCTCCAGGATAGGCCCTGGCAGACTGTGAAGAGGAGAAAGTCACCAGGGTGGGAGTCTGGGGTCACATCCTAAGCACTACCAGGAGACCTGTTTGAGACCTAAAGCATAGGCAAGAGAAAAAAAGAGAAGGAGGGAGAGAGAGCAGAGGAAGAGCTGCCTGTGGTGGGAACTTAGAAAGTGCCACTGAGAATTTTTAAATGTTTTTCGTTTGGTTTGGTTCGTTTTTGGTGGCTGGCCAGTACCGGGATCCAAACCCTTGACTGTGTTGTTATAGCACCATGCTTTAACCAACTGAGCTAACCGGTCAGCCCCCACTGCTAATTTTTTCATTCTTCCTTTTAAAGTTTTCTGTAAAGAATCTTAATACAAAGTTGATCTCTCTAAAGGTTTAGTATCTTATACTTAAAATAAAAATGTCTTTTTATAGATATTAGAAATATTGTCATGAAAAACAAATGTTGCTTTAGAACCCTTTATACTTCTCTTTAAATGTTAACAGTGCCTTATCTTTGAGACTCTGACACTGGGGAAATTTTATTTTTCTGTAGAACATTGCAGCTTACATTTAGGCTCCAATCTAGCTTAACTCACCTGAGACTATAGGTAAGTCACTGTTTAACATGTTCAAAATATATAATTCTTATTTAGAGAAATTCAACTATTAGTTCTTGCTGTTAGCATAAACCTGAGGATAATTCTGGACGTCTCTCTTCTCTTTTCTCCTATCCAGTCATTCACCAAGGCTTGTGCCATTCTATCTCTTTTTTTTTTTTTTTTCCTTTTTGTCTTTTTTCGTGTCCGGCAACGAATTGCAACCCTCAGTGTTGCGCCCGTACCGGACCAGGACCGGCAACGGGATCGCAACCCTCGGTGTTGCGCCCGCACCTCGCTCAGCCAGTTAGCGGGAACCGGTCTGTATGTGGGATC